TGTATATATGTATATATATGTATGTGTATATATGTATATATATGTATATATGTGTATATATATATAATGTATATATGTGTGTGTGTGTATATATGTATCTACATTACCATCATAATTCAATCTCACTGTCACTACATGTGAAATAACCTGTCACACAACATGTGCAGTATATGTTAATTATGTGCAATATATATATTTAGCTTATATTACAACCTTAAAATACTTATTCATTCTAATTCATCCTGCTGCACTGTTATATTCTACCATGTTGTTGTTTACTACCTCTCTTTAATTACTTTTTCATTTTATGGTACTTTATTTTTGTACCCTTATTGCATGCTTTAGTATATTCTTGTTTGTTCTTTGTTGTTTTAGCGTGTCAAATTGGTTCTTCTCATCCTGAGCATTTCATGGTACTGGTGACCTTGTGTTAACCTTGCATTTCACAAATAAACACAACTTGAAATTGAATATATGTTATTCTGTTTGCGATATAGCCCCCCAGGTGGACGTATCACTAGCCGCCACTGATATAAACAAGGTCAATTCCAAACCTTCTCTCTCTTCTTCTTTTTCTTCTGCTGCTTCTTCTTTTTTTTTTTCTTCTCCTTCTTTTCCTCATCTTCACTGTCGGATGAAGAGGAGGAGGAGCTGGAGGAATCCTGTGGACCAAATGACGTTTTAAATCAAATGTTTCACATGAACTAGAAATGCTCCCTATGTCAAAATTCTAACAGCAAAATGACCTCTCCCCCCTCCTCCTTCTTCTTCCTCTTCAGCTTTTTCTTCTTCTCCTTCTCCTTGTCTCTTCCTCCCTCATCATCACTCAGGTGACCGTCCTCCACACCATGAGAAAAAGCCTCCGCTCCACCTGCTGAACAGGAAACATCAGTCTAAAATCCTGAGCACATCTGTCTCATTTTACCCAATTTCAGAACCAGCTCAGCACCTGCCACTGTGGAGGAGACGTCCTTGTATTCCATTTCCTGAATCTCTCTGAACTGTGAGGACAAAACGAGACAATCTTTTTCTGGCTTTCATGCATGCACCAGGTGCAGGAGTGAGCAGGAATTTTACCTTCTCATCTCCATCAGCACTTGGTTCTCCAACCTCCCCATCTGTAGAAATGATAATGGTTGTTTTTACACTTCTTATTCTGTCCATACATCAAAATGTCTGATTTTTTTCCTCTTAGGTTTTTAGGTCAGAAATTACTATTGATCTTTGCGGTAGAAAGACAATCTACGCTAGATTTTTTGGACAGTAGTTGCATTGATTAACTGGTTGGTTAATTAGTTCTCTTAACTATCTCTCTGACCGAAGGCAATGTGTTCAACATAATGGTACTTCATCCAGTTATTTAACAGTCAGCAAAGGTGTACCACAAGGCCCAGTCTTAGGACCCACCCTCTTTACAATCTATATAGGTAATGTAGGTCAGAGCATCCCTGATGCATCCTTACTTGCATCCTTACTATGTTGATGACACAGTTGTTTACTGTCGAGCTAAAACAGTTGCTAAGGTTTTCCAGCTTTTGCAATCCACTTTTGACATCATCCAGTCAGATTTGTTCAGTCTCAAACTTGTCCTAAACATCGACAAAGCCAAAGGGATGTTGTTTTCAAACAGGAAGTCAGTCCCAGCGGTTCTTCCCTCGATTTGATCCTCAAATGGTGACTCTATTGAGTTTGTCGAGTCCTACAAATATTTGGGGATCTTGGTCGATTTGTGTCTCTCTTAAGCTCCACGAGGAAAACTTGGTAAGAAAACTGAAAGTTAAATTGGGCTGCTTTTTCAGAAATGGATATTGTTTAACTCTGAATGTTAGAAAAGGCCTTGTGACTGTGACTTTCCTTCCTTTCATTGACTATGGTGACATTATTTACATGTACACCACTACAAGCACCCTGCAGATGTTGGACGCTGCCTATCATGGTGCACTAAATAACTGGCTGTAACTACCATACCCACCATTGCACCCTGTTTTCACTGGTTAACTGGACATGATTAATTTCACGCAGACTCGCTCACTGGTACATTTTCATCTTTAAATCACTTCTTGGTCTGTTGCCTTAATACATCTCCTCCCACATGTCTCTGCATGAGTGCAGCTACAGCGTGCGCTCTCAAGACATTACCTGCAGTGGTCCCTCAGTGAGAACTGATCTAGGCAAAAGGGCCTTCTCCTACTCTGCTCCTGTTTCCAGGAATATCTTGCAAAAAGATCTGAAGCTCTCGACTTTGACCTCTCTAAGTGGCTTCAAACATCTGCTAAGTTCCTGGCAAAAACCAATGCAGACATGTTCCTGTTTTTAGTATTTTACACTACCTTAAAATCTAGCCGGGTTTTTTTTTTTTTTCATTTTTTAATACAATTTCTTTAACTTGTTCTTCTCAATTTGTATGCTTCCTTTATGATCGTCTACTGTTGTCTACTGTCGTCATCCATCCATCCATCCATTTTCTTCCGCTTATCCGGGGTCAGGTTGCGGGGGTAGCAGCTTAAGTAGGGAGGCCCAGACTTCCCTTTCCCCAGCCACTTGAGCCAGCTCCTCCGGGGGAATCCCGGGGCGTTCCCAGGCCAGCCGAGAAACATAGTCCCTCCAGCGTGTCCTGGGTCTTCCTCTGGGTCTCCTCCCGGTGGGACGTGTCCGTAACACCTCACAGGTAGGCGTCTAGGAGGCATCCTAACCACAGATGAGGGTAGGAACGTAGATCGATCAGTAAATTGAGAGGTTCACCTTTTGACTAAGCGCTCTCTTCACCACGACAGACCTGTACAGTGCCCCCTTCACTGCAGACACTGCACCTATCCGCCTACCGATCTCATGTTCCATTTTTCCTTCATTCGTGAACAAGACCCCAAGATACTTGAACTCCTCCACTGTGGGCAGAACCTCCTCCCTGACCTGGAGAGGGCACTCTATCCTTTTCCAGCTCAAGACCATGGCCTCGGATTTGGAGGAACTGATCCTCATCCCAGCCATGTCGCACTCGGCTGCGAACCGCTCCAGTGACAGCTGTAGATCACAATCTGATGAAGCCAATAGGACCACATCATCTGCAAAATCACTGCTCCTTCTGAATCCGAGGTTCGACTATCCAACAGACCCTCCTCTCCAGAACCCCCAAATTGACCTTACCAGGGAGGCTTAAGAGTGTGATCCCCCTGTAGTTGGAACACCTCTACGGTCCCCCTTTTTGAATAGGGGGACCAACACCCCAGTCTGCCAATCCAGGGGAACTTCCCTCGATGTCCACACAATATTGCAGAGTCGCGTAAGCCAACACAACCCTACAACATCTACAGCCTTAAGGAACTCCGGGCGAATCTCATCCACCCCCGGGGCCCTGCCACCGAGGAGCTTTTTAACCACCTCTGTGACCTCAGCACCAGAGATTGGAGGGCCCGACCCAGAGTCCCCAGGCTCCGCTTCCTCAGTGGAAGACATGCCTGTGGGATTGAGGAGGTCTTAAAAGTATTCTGCCCACCGACCCACGACATCCTGAGTTGAGGTCAGCAGCACACCACCACTACTATAAACAGTGTTGGTGGTGTACTCCCCCCCCCCCCCCCCCCCCCGAGATGCCGGATGATGGACCAGAATCGCCTCGAAGCCATGCGGAAGTCGTTCTCCATGGCCTCTCCGAACTCTTCCCATGCCCAAATTTTTGCCTCAGTGACCACCCGAGCCGCATGTTGCTTGGACTTCCGGTACCCATCAGCTGCTTCCAGGGTCCCACAGGCCAAAAAGGCCAGATAGGACTCCTTCTTCAGCCTGACAGCATCCCTCACCGCTGGTGTCCACCACCGGGTTCGAGGGTTGCTGCCGCGACAGGCACCAACAACCTTGCGGCTGCAGCTCCGGTAAACCGCCTCGACAATAGAGGCATGGAACATGGCCCACTCGGATTCAATGTCCCCCACCTCCCCCGGAACATGTTCGAAGTTCTCCCGGAGGTGGGAGTTAAAGCTCCGTCGCACAGGAGACTCTGCCAGACGTTCCCAGCAAACCCTCACAATACGTTTGGGCCTGCCAGGTCTGACCAGCATCCTCCCCCACCATCGGAGCCGTCTCACCACCAGGTAGTGATCAGTGGACAGCTCCTCCCCTCTCTTCACTTGAGTGTCCTAGACATGTGGCCGCAGATCAGATGAGACGACGACAAAGTCGATCATCGAACTGCGGCCTAGGGTGTCCTGGTGCCAGGAGCACATATGGACACCCTTATGCTTGAACATGGTGTTCGTTATGGACAATCCATGATGAGCACAGAAGTCCAACAATAGAACCTGAGACTAGTTGTTGGAGGTTTTGGAGGACTTGAGGAGACCAGTTGTTGGAGGTTTTGGAGGACATGAGACCAGTTGTTGGGAGGTTTTGAAGGACAAGAGGAGACCAGTTGTTGGAGGTTTTGGAGGACTTGAGGAGGTTAGGTTTTCGAGGATTTGGAGGACTTGAGGAGACCAGCTGCTGGAGGTGTTGGAGGACCTCAGGAAGCCAATTGTTGGAGGTTTTGTAGGAAATAAGTAGACCAGTTGTTGGAGGTGTTGGAGGACATGAGTAGACCAGTTGTTGGAAGTTATGGATGACCTGAGGAGGCCAGTTTTGAAGGTTTTGGAGGACCTCAGGAGGCCAGTTATTGGAGGTTTTGGATGAACTGAGGAGACCAATTGTTGGAGGTTTTGGAGGACCACAGGAGGCCATTTACTGGAGGTTTTGGAAGACTTCA